TGGGCAGCTGAATTTGAAATCTTTTTGCCATGCATGGGTAGGGAACATTCTCCCAGGGTTTCGGCCTTCTAGCTTTTCCCGTTCCCGAGTTAGCGATTATCGCGCCAAAACTTTCACGTGCTCGCACGCGGGCCCAGACGTGCGTGAGGTTTAAAACAGCGCTCCTGGGGTGGTACCTGGCTGGGGAACACAATGGCACAATTTCAGCTTCAAAGTTTGCGTGGTTAGCAAATTAAAATAACCGGACAGACGAACACACAAACACACACACACACAAACATACACACACACTGACAGGGTCGTTGCAATATGCCTTTTTGCCGCTTGGTGCAGCGCTCTAGCGCTGCACGGCAAAAACGCATAATTACAGAAACGCAAATTGGCAGGAGGCTGTGTGTGTTTTCATACTTTTTGTTATACAACTTTCAACTCGAGAACCGGAAAAGCTAGAAGGCTGAAACTTTGGTAGTATGTGCCACTTCTTGCGCGACCATTCCGTTTTAATATCGTTGCCCGCCTATGCCTGGGTGCCGCGTACGGGCGTCTTAAAGAATATACTAATTTTCTGGCCGAAAGGCAATCTCGAGAACCAGACAAGGTAAGGGGCTGAAAGTTTGCTGGGGTATTCCTTGTGCATGTGTGGGCTAAAGATTTCAAATTCAGCCTCCAGATATGCGTGTCTTCACGCAAAGGCGTATGGAAGTTTTGGTGGGAAAGTTATTAATTTAGGGACTAGGAAAGCTAGAAGGTTGAAATTTTGGGGGAATGTTTCCTGACCAAGTACAACTGAACTATTTCATATTCACCCTTCAGATTTGCGTGGTTCTAACGTCTGAGTACGTGAAAGATTTGAAGAGAAAACTGCTAACTCGATAACCAGAAAGGCTGGATGTTCCTGGGATGTTCCTGTTCACGTGCAATTAAATATTTCAAATTCATCTTCCCATCGGAAAAGCTTCCCATCGGAAAATCGGGAAAGCTAGAAAGTTAAAATTTTAGGGGGTGTCCCATGTCCAAATACAACTTAAATATTCCAAATTCAGCCTTCACGCATGCGTGTCTGA